GTTGCTCCAGATCACAGAATCACATGGAATTGTTCTGGTTAGGAAAGACCTTTCAGCCTGGAGAAGAGAAGGCTCCAGGGAGACCTTAGAGCAGCTTCCAGTGCCTGAAGGGGCTCCAGGAAAGCTGGGGAGGGGCTTGGGACAAGGGCAGGGAGGGAGAGGACAAGGGGGATGGATTAAAACTGGAAGAGGGAGATTGAAGTGAGACATGAGGAGGGAATTCTTTGGTGTGAGGGTGGTGAGAGCCTGGCCCAGGTTGCCCAGGGAAGCTGTGGCTGCCCCATCCCTGGCAGTGTTGAAGGGCAGGTTGGATGGGGCTTGGAGCAGCCTGGGCTGGTGGGAGGTGTCCCTGCCCATGCAGGGGGTTGGAACCAGATGATCTTTCAGGTCCCTTCCAACCCAGACCATTCTATGACCATCAAGTCAAACCACTAACCTAACTCTTCCAACTCCAGCGCTCAACCACGTTCCCAAGAGTATCCGTGGCTCAGTCAGTCACAGTGCAGTGCAGAGTCCCCCCCTGGAGCAGAGGAGCTGTGGCAGGGGAAGGCAGGCAGGTCCCTCCTGAGCTACCACGACCACAGCAGCAGGTTTCCTGTCAGAAGAGACAGTTGGTGCTGATGTGAGGCAACCGCGTGGCTGCGGCAGCAGGGAAAGGGCTCGCCCAGCGCCCACGGCCGGGGAGGGTGGGACAACTTGCTGTGTGGTTTTTTGCCTTCTTGAACAATTTCTGAACTTCTGACACCACATTGTGTGACATCTTTTTTCCCCCCACTTCAGAAGCTAAAAGTAGATCTGGGTTTGGGGGGGCGGGTTGGATGGGGCCAATCTGCTCCCCTCCCACGTGGAGGGTGATGGGCTCACACTGGTGTTGGCTTTCAGCTGTTGGAGGTGAACCTCTTGGGGGGCAGAGGAGCTGCTGCAGGGAGCTTTGTCCCTCTGCAGACCAACATTTTGCCAGCAGGATGTTAGAGTAATATGGGAAAAGGCACCTGAAATGTTCTACAGGTGCTTGGAGAGGTGTCAGCAGCCCCAGTGCTGCCCCACGTTGGTCCCCATCAGCCTGTACTGGTGTTGCAGGAGGTCACAGAGGGGAGAGAGGGCCAAGGATTAAACGTTTTTAAAAGGTTGTTTTTATCATCTGCAACAGGAAATGGAAAAAAAAAATAATATTTTTTTTTTTAAATTGCTGTGAACAAATTACAATGTTCCTCGTGGTTTCCATGACCTGGCAGTCCTCACTGAGCCAGCACTTGGGTACAGCCATGGAGGTGATCCCAGGGCTGGAGCAGCTCTGCTCTGGAGCCAGGCTGGGAGAGTTGGGGTGTTCAGCCTGGAGAAGAGAAGGCTCCAGGGAGACCTTAGAGCAGCTTCCAGTGCCTGAAGGGGCTCCAGGAAAGCTGGGGAGGGGCTTGGGACAAGGGCAGGGAGGGAGAGGACAAGGGGGGATGGATGAAAACTGGAAGAGGGAGATTGAGGTTGGACATGAGGAGGGAATTGTGGAGTGTGAGGGTGGTGAGAGCCTGGCCCAAGTTGCCCAGGGAAGCTGTGGC